TAACTCTAACAACCTGTCTGTCCAAGAGTATATTTATTAGGTAGGGTATTGCAGAACATTTATAGATTTGCCTGCGTGCATGGATTTCAACGTATTTACGTCTCCTCCTACCAGAATATATATAAGAGGAGAAATATACGATTGAAATGGATGGTTAGTATCTGATAAGATCGAATTCTCCTCACCGAGTGGTCAACGACCAGAAATCCCTATCTAAACCAAAGATATCAGCTCCACAAGTGAACAGTTTGTAGAAACAGCTTGGTCTCCAAAGGAAGACAGGTGTGAGAGTTAACACGGGTCGACCAGTCTACCATTCTTATTGCTGAAGACTGAAAATAGCACCGAAAATGCTGACAACATAACCCCAATAATACAAACAGACTTCTTTAAAATAATGATGTAATTATTGTCAAAATCTATAACAGATTGATTGTTTTGCCGTTTGGTTGTTATGTGCCCGAGTACAAAAAACGCTGTGCCGTCAATACGTTAATGTGACAATATACGAACGAAAGCTAATGAATAGTAACCATAAGATGTGATCGAAAAACGAACCCACCACTGATAAAATGAAACGCCCACCACATTAGCTTTCTTTGACCTTGTATGGTTATGCTTCGCTTGTTCACCAATCACAATTTTATGCTTATTATAAAATAGTATTTGCTTCTATTCTTGTAGTTACTGTTTGGTATATTATTTATGTCTCTCTTTTCCTGTTTAAGAGACCGTATTGATTGTTTAATTTTTATACTAATGGTGTCAATTTACGTTTTAGAAACAGATAAAGTTTATCAAGCCAAATAGCTTACTTGTTCTGAATTTTGCTAAGCTATGACTCTGTGCTCGACAGTCTAGAGAATAGCTTAGAATTACATATGTAGGAGGTTACTTCCTACAGTAACTGCTTGGAGTTATTGTGGGCTATTGTTGCATATATCCTTATTAGACAATTACTGAACAACTAGATTATATATATTCCTTTTATTACAAGCTTTCATTTGATCTATTGACCATTGCACCAAGATTTATCATTCCTAATATATTCCTTAATTTATCAGTCATACTAAACCATACTCACAGCCACTTTTGACACGACCGTGTACAACCATTACTTCTCATTTTATGGTGTGATATGGTCTGATCAGCTTGAATATAAACTAAGTATGTCTGAAATATACAACTCACACAGCCGAGGTTGAGATTGTGTTCTGGACTGGACTGGACCGAACTGAGCTTGGTGGTAAGTTGTTATACGGAGGACCGATAAGGACTGAGAGTCTGCTCAAGGCAGCTCGTGCTGTTCAACACATAATTGGTTTAGCACAGGAACAAGGCCATAGAAGTGGGTATTCTAATTGTCGATTCTGTCACGTGAGATTTTGCGGTAAATATGACATAATGAAACCTCTTGTTAGTGATATCAATTTTAGTGTTACTAAAGCATTCCATATCAAATTATTTTTTATCAACATAGTTTTCAAAATGACCACTACTTCGCTTCTTGCTCAACGAACATTGCCGCATAACCAACCCTCGGGAGTTATTACAAAATAAAGAGTACGGGTGAACTCAAAGTTGTCTAGTTGGGAAACCGTGCTTAGCAGAATGCCACTGGGTACATTTTCGGACCAATGATGTTCCTTCTATGTGTAAATCATCTTCCTAATTTCATATTGTCTTCGGTTTTGTTGTGTGATAACGATGTAAAGATATGGAGAGGGGCAAAAAGTAAAAGTGATAGTTTAGAGCCTCAAAATGACCTGAAGATATTGTCTGAATTATATAAAATTTGGCAGCTGCTGATAAATGCTTCCAAGAGCATCTTAATATACACTGGTCACCAAGGTACTGATATATACATGGTGAATAACAGTGAGCTATCTGTTGTTCAGACACGCAATGACTAAGAAGTCTTTGTTATTCAACACTTTAAAACTGCAGCACAGTGTCTCGTGACATGTGCCAAATGTTTTCGAACCCTATAGTCAATACGTAGGGTCTTAGTCATGTCAATGATAAAACCTTTTAGACTTTGTGTACAGTATCGTTCGTCCTAAACTCGAGTACTAAGAGAAAGCGGCTAGTCCCTGCCTAAACGAGACAGTGAGCTAGTGGAAAAAAACTGGCTCCTACAACACCAAAGCTCCAGAATGATACTCGGCCGGTTAAACTAAAACAATTTCCATTGTAATATATAAGAACCAGAGGTGATTTGGTCACATTTTTAAAATTATTTGGTGACAAATTCTTCATTTGATACGCCCTCAATTTTGTTTTCTTCCAAAACAGAGACTGTACGTGGACACTCCATAAGCTCAGAACAAATTAGTTGTCAGCTGACCTTCAACATTCTCATCGAATAATCAACAAATGAAATTAATTACATCAACGCCAATTAATTACATCACAACCAAGAGTTTCACAATCTTGACGAGTCAGTATGGTGCTCAGTAAGATTATCTACCACCTCGAGGTGCCTAGTTGGGGTCGTTTACAGGAAGCCCACTGTCGACATCGAATATGACAAACGTCTGCTGGAAGGATTAACTCGCTCTACGCGTCTTGGATTCTCTCATATCCTGATTCTAGGGGATTTCAATCTCCCTAGAATCAACTTCGTGGAACATACATACATTGGTGGTGCCAACTCTACTGAAGCTCTGTTCTTCAACCTTATCGGCGACCTGGGATTATTTGAAAATGTGAAGTCGGCAACCCGTTGGAGAAACAGTCAGACGCCGTCACGCTTAGACTGGGTATTCACAAATGAAGAATTCCTAGTTGACGACCTCTCAATCCTGGCTCCCCTGGGCAAAAGTGATCACGCCATCTTATCATTCAGCTTTGTCAGCAAGACGGAGCTACGATATCCTACTAGCAACAAGCGCTGGAACTTCAAACAGTTGGATGTGTTAGCTTTACAGGACTATCTTCAACAGGTGGATTGGAATGTTCACCCTCAAATTGAAGTGGATGCTCATTGGGATTTTTTACTGCACACGATCTTATGTGCTACTGAGCATTCAGTTGCTAAAATGGTCCCAAAAAGCTACAAGCAACCTGCAATCATCAAGAACCGCACTCGTCGTTTGCTAAGCCGCAAAAGGCACTGTTGGGCTGAATATAAACGAACGGATAACAACGGCGCGTACATGCAATACAAACATATAAGGAACATATGCACAAAGGCAGTAAGAGAAGACAGGCTTCAGTTCCAGACCAAGCTTATCGATAGATTCGTCTCCAATCCGAAAAGCTTGTTCAGTTATGCAGCTTCTCTTCGACAAGGCAAAACTGGAGTTTCCCAACTGCTTGGTCCTAATGGCCCGACCAACAACGACAGTGATGCCGCTAACCTTTTGGCTGAACATTACTCTCGGACATTCCAGCTGATCCACATCAACCATACTGACGAAAGCTTCACCTGCACCTGTACAGGACTTTCCGAAGTGGACCTGAGTGCTGACCTGGTGCTCCGTAAACTGCAGAACCTAAAAAAAGACACTTCTCCTGGTCCGGACATGGTTCATTCCGCTGTATTGAGGGAAGCAGCTTCAATCCTGGCGACACCACGCAGTGAACCCTCAAGCTACCGACCAGTGGCCCTTCTCTCCATACCTTCAAAAATTATGGAATCCCTAGTATTCGACGGCATACTAGAACACTTATCATCCTCAAAGTTCTTCTCGCCTCAACAGCATGGTTTTAGAAAAGGTCATTCTTGTATGACCAACCTGCTGACTGCGGTGGATAGATGGACAACCATCCTTGATCGCAAGGGGAAGGTTGACGTCATCTACCTGGACTTCTCAAAAGCTTTTGATAGGGTCAACCATGCATGTCTTATCAAGAAGCTTGGACGATTGGGTATAAAACCCCCTTTAATTGATTGGCTCTCTTCATATTTAGAAAACCGACACTTTAAGGTCAGGGTTAACATCACTCTCTCTCAGGCTATGGAATGTCCTAGTGGGGTCCCCCAGGGTTCAATACTAGGAACTCTTCTCTTCTTGATTTATATTAACGATCTTCCGCAACAAGTTTCATCTGATTTATTGCTTTTTGCTGATGATGTGAAACTTTGGAGAGAGATACGTAATCACAATGATATACTAGTTCTTCAGGAGGATCTGACTCGACTTCAAAGTTGGGCAGACGACAACGGACTTACCTTCAACACATCAAAGTGCAAGGTAGTCCATCTGAGACATGGTGCAGACTATAGTTATAACTTAGGTAACTCACCTCTAGAAGTTTCCCAAGTTGAAAAAGATTTAGGAGTGTTGGTACCCTACGACCTGAAATCGTATGCGAACTGTGACAAAAACGCCTCTCAAGCAAACCTTGCACTGGTAACATCGAAGCGCATTTTTGGCCAGTTTGACGGTAGAACCTTCCATATAATCTTCAACAGTTTTATTCGTCCCCACTTAGAGTACGGAAACATAGTATTTCCTCCCTCCCTCCAAAAGGATAAGGTCACTCTGGAACGTATACAACGTCGAGCCACGAAATCAGTTCGGGGTCTCAAATTCAAACCTTATGAAGAGCGCCTCAAATCACTTAACCTTTACCCGTTAGAGTATAGGCGTCTTAGAGGTGATCTTCTTATGACTTATAGTATCCTTAATACTTCTGGTCATCCCCTTAAACAACTTCTTAAGCTTAGTCATAACACTAACCTCAGAGGTAACATCCAGAAATTGAAGACCCTACATAGCAGAACAGACTGCAGACACAACTTCTACTCCGTTAGAGTTGTCAAGTGCTGGAATTCGCTGCCGACTGAGCTAGTCCAAGCGACCTCCCAGGAGTCCTTTAAGAGGAAACTTGACTTATTCTTAAGGACTAAGGATAACATATTATTATGATTTACCAAATTCTTTTTTTCCCTCTATTATCGTTCATATACCTAGGTTCTTGCCTGGAGGTATTGGTGATCCACTGCTACCAGACACGGAAGCCCGTTAAGCGAAAGCTTCTTCTATTCCGTCCTCAACCATTTGAACCATTTGAACGCATGATTGAAGCTCCATCTGTTGACGTAATCAAAAGAAATGCGGATAAATTGAGAAACCACAATTACCAAGACCAACACAGGTCACCTAGATTCTTGTCCTTTGAAAACTGGAATCGAGACTAGCTTTGGGGAGCGCCGCCCTTAGTCTCTTACGCAACATTTTCGCTGGGGATGGCGGATGATGGGAGGAGTTTGGAAGAAGAGAATCGACAGTTGAAATCTGCACTAAAATTGTCTATGCAGGAAAAGTATGAAGCAGCCGAATATGGCCTTACCCTTTTGGAAACAAATCAACAACTCAAAAATCAGCTTGATGAATTGGGCGGAAAGTATGAAGAGTTAGATCGAGAACTAAAAATTACTCGCAAGGTAATCTCCTTTAAATTATTGACACACTCTCAACTTCAGAGTTTGGAGGAACAAAATCTCATTCAACGTAGACTAAGTATCGCTGGTTTCCAGGAGGAAGATGACTTGGTATCCGAGTCGGCAAACAGAGAACGTGTCTTAAGGAATCAAGTGCATGATTTGGAGGTAGAATTAAAGGAGCTCAGGCTGAAGTATGAGCGGCAAATGGCGGAAAATGACACGTTGCACAAAAGGAATATTGAACAGCAGTCTGCTCATGAAGACCTAGAGAAACAGTTTAGGAACCTTAAATCTGATATTAGAGATGCTAAAGCAAAAGAAGTCCAAATCTTAAACGAATATGACGACTTAGAGGCGGAAAATTTGGAGTTACAGAAGACCATACTTTCCTTAAAAACTAGTCAGGTAAGTTCGTAGTGTGCTATAGTGGTTATCTCAGGTGGAATTTGAAAGCGTACGGCATGAATTAAAGCGACTGCAGGAGGAAAATGATGTTATACATGTCCAGCTAGAAGAAATCACTCGTTTAAAGCGAATGACCGAAAAGTCCCTGGAAGATGCTTTAGAATCACTTCAGATTGAACGTGACCAGCGGCATAATTTACGCAAGGAACTTGACAGCAGAATTATATCAGATTCAATAAGCCACCTCAGCGACTTGCGAAACCTAAACAATTTGGGAAATGTTAGCAAACTCAGTCAACTTCAGGAGAGTATTACTGAATGTCAAAAACTAGGTAAGCATTCATGAGAATTCACTTGTGGTAGCCTATGGTGTCTTATCATTTTACTGTTACTTAATCCAAACATTTTGTTGATTTAAGTACTATTCAGAAATTTTGTCTATCTTAGTAACTAGTTTCTTCAGAACTAGTTAGAGTTAGTCCTAATGTCTCTGCTTACCATCTTAACTGCTGTACGGGTGTGCTACAGCATGATTATACCAACTACAAACGGAGCATCACTTTTTGCCTGATATTGGAGACAAATGTTCGTGAATGTTTTTTTCATTAAAACACCGTCATCTATATAAGTAAAACAAATTTACCACAAAGTTATGAAGAAACTTATACCACTATCGGGTATATTTATATTATTTTCTTAAAAGCTATGGCATCGGATTATTATAATCGTAGTCAAGTGTTGGCACTGCGTCATACTTTGAGTCGGACCACTTCGCAGTTTCACTATTACCCCCCCAACAATGTGTTAGGCCAAGTTAAATGTGCAAACGTGTTTTTTTTACTGAGTTGATTTTATTTGCTTTTTCCTGCATAATTTAAAACCTTGATATAGCTTTCGAATCAGTTTGAAAACGTTTTACAGTAACAGTTTTATTCTTACAGCAAGACGTTTTGAATTTTTCAACAAGCCACTAACATTAACGCTAACCGAATAATATACGCTCAATTGTTTCATAGGTTCTCTTCAACTCCTTGGAACTTGAAAGTAATAGTATTCGCCTTTGGAGAAACAGGTTCATATGTAATATATAACTAACAGAAATGTATTGATCATAGTCGGGAGTGATAAATAAACAGTAAATATGGAAGCATAATTAAGATCGTCTACACGACTGATTGTTTTCTGGTTAACTGGTGAAAATTCTAGGATATGAAGCAAAAGTTGATGTATACTGGTCTCTAGAAAAAAATATCAACAAAAGTTGCTCAATACTAGCTACAAGAAAGAACTAAATAGCAAACCAAGATAATGAGGCTAATAAAAATCAATAAAAAACAGAAATTTGCTCCATGAATTACAATATGCAAGTAATTGGTAGAAATTAAGATCGTTCTAAATGATGAAGACTGGTGGAGGTTTATAGGGATATCCTCAAAATTATGCCAAACGTTTACATTTAGTTGCTTACTCATTATTTTGAAGTACTGACATGTTCACTGTTGAGCAGACAATGAACGATTGGATTCTTACTTGCCATGTTCAGTGGAATATATCCAAAGATACCGATTATACCTCTTTTTAATCTCTTTTGATTCTGTATGCCTCAGCGCTTTGTTCACTTTTGACTACTTAGGTGAGCATTTCACTTGGCATAGAAAGACTGATTTCGCTGCTAGATTTTTTTAAAATATACGTTACATTAGGGCCTCAAAAGGGGCTGCTAAAGAAATAGGAAAGCATCTTGCAGTATATGAGAATTAACGGGAATAGTATTTCGTGATACAATTCATACAGGGTAATACAGTTCTTATAAGGTAGTTCATTTCACCTTGATAAATGTTGTGATAGAAAACTGCCTCGGGACTGCCACTGGTTCCTACTCTGAGCTATGTCTGATAACATTTAAAGCCACTGAGTTTTATGATCTGTAGGGTTCGAACCTAAATACTTTAGTAAGCTGGAGAAAACCAGTCCTGAATAGTTTCCGTATTTACCACTGCGCCATGTAAAATAACTAACTCAGTTTTTTCCACTCCATCCCAGTGCCGGAAAATGGTGTGCTCCAAAGGCATTTATGAGCAACTACTAGTAACCTGCAAATATCCAGTACTTTTAAATAGCACGGCTCGCAGCCATAACATGAATCGAACTAAACATCGAAGTTTTATGCTGAAACAGAACTAATTCATTTATGTTTCAACCATTATCTAATCACTATGTATCTATATGGCTAATTACAATTAAATTAAACTTTTGTCGTGCTAGATGTCAATGTGTCTACTAATGAACCTCCTGGAAGTGATATGAAGAATCAAGAAGAAAATAAGTCTGGTTCTAAGCATCCTTCGCCAGACGATCTGCTGACTGAATTAAGAACTACGGAAATCGCCAAGTATGAGGCAGAATTAGCTCATATAGAAGCTGAGAAAAATGAACTTACTAGAACACTCGAAATTACACAGCGTTCTCTTGAGTTGGCTACAAGTGAAGTTTCAAATAAACAGGAGCGTATCAATGGATTACTGGCTCAGTTAGATGCAATTATGTCCGTCAAATCAGAAGCAGATTCTGAATTCGAAGTCAAAGAATTGGAATTAGAAGCACAACCAGCTGCAAACTGTAAAAATGCGATGGTGGAATCCTGTATTTCAATGACTTCTCATACAGATGAAAATGAAGATCTAACTGCCAACACACAAAATGACCTAAAAAGATTACGTAGAGCTCTGCGGTTAAATGAAAATCGTTATTCCGTAGCTTTACGTCAAATTGCCAGCATGCAACATGATCTTTGGAGATATCATGAGCGTGAAAAAATTGATTCCCGACCTGAACTAGCTTCAGAAGAATCCTTAAAACAAGAACTGGTTCGCTTACAAGGTATTTTAGAACAACGTAATGAAGAAATAAAAACGCTACAGCAGAAACTATCTGATAATGAACAAACTGTTTGTAAAAATTATAGTAAGATCCGTTCAGTCACGGAAACTTATAAGGAATGTCTTATTGTTCTTATCGGGATTTATAGCTTTGTGTGCTCAGTTATTAAAGTATCACCACATAAACAAGTGAGCGTTTTAGGTTTCCTTTTTATCGTTTTATTTTGTTAATATGTCTGGCTTATGCTAGATCTGTTCCTATTATCGCATTTGTTGGAAATATTTAGGTTGTTTGCAATTTTTCTAAACTTTGGTGAGGGGTTGTATAGTTCACAGTGCTGATTATGCTTTTATGCCTTCCCGTTAATGTGATGTGTTGTCAGTAATGTTTTAGCTTACAATAGAGCTCCGACAGACGTTTATAGGTGATATTACTGCTTTACAATAACCGTCCTAAACAAACAATTATTCCGAGTCACGTTATCGTAAGAAATAACCTAAAATACAGTTATTATGTGTATGATTTACAAACGTGTTTTGTCTAAATATGGGCACTGATGCCGTTCTGAACGACAATAAAAACTCAACAAAGCAGCTCGGCTTCGATTTTCATCTGCTATATTAATACAGACGTCACTTAAGTATTGTATCAAATAGATGGGGCAACAGGCTATCACTAATTGACTCTGTAGAATCTCACAATTTATATGGCCGATATACACCTTGGTATAAAAGTAATATAAACTGAGGCAGAAGCTCAAAATAAAGGATATATTTTAGGGCAATATCAGAACCTGTTGAATAATGGCGATGCCACTTATGGAGGCGGTTATTGTTTTATAACTTTCAGCAATCAACCAACATTGCTAAGTAGAATTTGAACTTAAAATTTGTGTTTACTTTCTGTTCTCTAAATATTTCAGTAGAATATAAATAAATAATATATTTGTAATATTCCAATGAGTAGAAAAATTAGATTTTCTGACGTTTCGTGACTTAGTGTAAGCCACTTCTTCAGAGAATAAATAACCAAATTAACATTAACCCAAGTTTAAATAGTACAACGGAACAATCCAAGAATATTAGGTGATCAATCAAAAACAGGTCTGAATAAATCAATGTCAAGTCATTTCATTTCGGTTAAAGTGATTCATAAGGGATATGTATGTAATTTTGTGTGTATGTATGCATTGTTAATGACGAAAAATGTGTGTCCTTTGTAATGACAAAGGATAGAGTTTAATTTGTAATGTAACGGTGTGAAATTGTAAATAATATTAGACTGGTTGACTAGGATAGATAGTCCAAGTGGGATGTATGGTAAGGCCTTCTTTTCTATCGAGGGCAGTGGGATTAAGCATTATATGGAAAGCTTCAGCTACTCTTCTTCCTTTGTTATTGGAAAAACCTTTCTGTAGTATTTTGATGTTTTTGAAATCAATTTGATGATTATTGAAAATGGCATGAACCGCTAATGCCGATTTAATTTGAAGTCTATCTGGTTCTACAGGATTATTAGGAGGTTTCTTTGTGTACCTAATATGTTCTTTGGCGCGAGTCATGATTTCGCGAGATGACCCAATACAGAAGGCATCACAGTCGACACAACCTAATTTGTAGACGCAGTTCTGTGTAGACATGAATGGTATCTTTTCTTTTAATCGAACTAAAGTATTTCGAAGAGTGTTCGTTGTTTTGTAATTTACTTTAATTCTGTGTTGTTTTAAGATTTTTTGGAGTTCTTCAGTTGTGCCATGATGGTATGGTAAAACTGCAGTACCAATCCATGGCATTTCATTCGAATTATTGTTATTATTACGTGCTGAATTGTCTTGTTTTAATATGCTTCTGATAATCTTCATCGGAAAATTATTAAATTGTAAGATGCTAATTATATTCTTTTGTTCTTTTAGTTTGTCCTCTTCTGAAGTGATGATTTTATTGGCTCTTCTAAAAAGATTTAAGGCTAACGAAATTTTAGCACTGAAAGGATGTGCTGAATGGAAGTCGATGTAACGATTAGAGTGTGCAGGCTTTCGGTAGATGGATACATTTAGAACTCCATTTATATTTCTTTTCACTAAACAATCTAAGAACGGAAGCTCACCATGTTCATTTTCATTCTCATTCGTGAATTTGATATGAGATGAAAGTGTATTTATCTGTTTTGAAAATGATCTTAGATGCGTCTTTTTTTATCACTACAAATGTGTCATCTATATATCTAAGCGAAATTCGTGGTTTAATGTGGTTGGTGAAAATCTTTGATTCTATGTGTGTCATAAAAAGGTTGGCAACAATCGGGGACATAGGGGGACCCATTGCTACACCATTTGTTTGTCTGTATAGCGTTCCGTTGAAGGTGAATAGAGTTGAATTTAAGCAAAGTTTTAACGATCTCATGATTAAACTAATGCTTAACGGACATCTGTCCGACAAAGTAGTGTCATTTTCTAGTAAGCCACTAATAAATTCTAAGCAGTTATCAATCGGAATACTAGTATATAAAGATACGACATCAAAGCTTACCATGAATTCATTCTTCTCGATGATTAATTCCGATAGTTTTGATTTAAAGTCATATGTATCTTTAATCATATTATGTATGTCGAACTGTAGAGGCTTTAATATGCTGCTTAGATATTTAGATAAAGCATAAGTCGGTGGTAAAGTCTACTATCGGTCTTAGATGAATATTTGGTTGTTGCCTTTGTCTGCTTTTGTGATTATGATTGTTTTGTCCTTTTTATGCGAAAGCAGGGCCTTGTATTCTTCTTTTGAGATGTTTGGTGTGAGGCGTTTTTGTTTGGTCAAGATGTGGGACGTCTTTTGACGTAATAGTTTCTGTCCATTGCAATACAAGAGAGGTCTAGTTAAGTGCCTCTTTAAGAGGACTCGAAGAATATGTACCTCTGATATGGTGGAAAAAGAGGAGAAGTTACTGACTGACACGTTAATAGCAAATGGTTATCCACTCAAGTTTATTAATAGGTGCAAAAGTCAATTAATGCCAAGACCTCTAATTTATTCAGTGCCAAAGAAAAAGGTTTACATCAATCTACCATATAGAGGCGAATCAAACAGTATAGTTTTAAGGCAGAGATTGAAAGCAGCCATTGAGAATACGTATTATGCTGCTCAGTTGGTAGTGATTGAAAAGTCTAAGGCCATGATTCATAATAGACCCAAACAATGCACTAATGATTACGTCACATCCCATTGTATTTACCAATTTACATGTTTGTGTGGACACACATACATAGGTAGGAGTAATCGAACAATGCAATCAAGGGTCAATGAACATGTACCCAGATGGCTTCAAAATCAGTGTGTGTCAAATGATCCGATCAATGTAGGCGGTAGAAAACCATGTTCATCGATAGCAAAACACATTATTGAGACGGGGCACAAAATTAACATTAATACAGCATTTAGAATGTTGTATAGAAATTGTCAAGGTCGAATTCTTAAGTTTATTGAAGCCTTAGCTATTCGTAAATTTAAACCCCCCTTATGTGTACAAAAACAATTTGTCGTAACCTTGAATTTACCTTGGTAATCCTTAAGTCATTCTATGGCCTAGAATAACGCGACAATTTCTTATTCTTTCTCCCCCTTAGTTATTTTAGTTGTACTTTTATTTGTTTCTTTGACCTTTATTAATTTTCATATAAAAATGCCTTGACAAGTATATGTGTGACCAGATTGTTCGAAATGTATAGCGCAAATACATCACATTTTTCAGCTTTATTAATGTAATCTGTTCTATTCATGACTACTGTTGTGTTGCCTTTGTCTGCTTTTGTGATTATGATTGTTTTGTCCTTTTTATGCGAAAGCAGGGCCTTGTATTCTTCTTTTGAGATGTTTGGTGTGAGGCGTTTTTGTTTGGTCAAGATGTGGGACGTCTTTTGACGTAATAAATGCGATTCTTTTTCTGGTAATTGTGCGATTATTGGCTCTATAATTGCAGCAACTTCAAGAGTACTGAGTGGTTTTCTATGTAAATTGAAATTTAATCCTTTCTCCAGTAGGGTGACTTCATGATTCGTTAAGTTTCTGTCAAACAAATTACGAATTATTTCAGTAGAATATTTATTTTTGCACCAGCTTTGTATTTGACATTAGCATAGTTAAAGCTCTATAGTACTCTGAAAAGTATTTTTGAAGCACAGGATTGTATATAGCCACAGGAGTTGATATGTTTAAAAATAGATAAAACTTATCTAACTAGTTCATCAAACGTATTAGGTATTTCTTTTTCTAGCCGTGTAAAAAGCCTAACTAAATAGAGTAATAGATTTGCTTCATTGTTCTCACTTTTAAGTGGTGATTAGATTTCACGTAGTTTGCTGATATAACTCCTCACAGAAAATTATATTTCGTTTCCCCCAAAATGCCCTGGTACGGCCGAGAGTGGGGAGAGGCCGCTCTCCCTCTCAAAGTGCTCTCACATGGCCACACGTATATAGCCTCTGCCAGGGAAGTCCTACTCACTGCCTTCTCGCACCATGGGTGTTGTTTACAAAATTGAGAGGACGAAAAGCGAGTGCCCGGCGCTTCAACTGGGTCGGTGGACACGGAGGGTTCACTTAGGGGAGTTAGAAAACCTTGATTCCAAACCAATGGTGCACAAGGGCTCCAGTATCCTGATGGGACGAATGGCATATGAACCTATTGTTGGTTACCGGCTACCATGGGACTGTATCCCCTTACGATGCTCCACTGCCTTTTGGATCAGACCTTTAGGTCAAAGACTCCGTGTATGGCCCCCTAAGAAAACCACCTACTTCAGTTTGGGCACCTGAGCAGTATCACAGCCCTCACACAAATCGAATGAGATTTGTGCGGTACATATGTATCTGGTGCTTCCTTGTACCAATATTTATGTTTATTAATAAAATAAAATATTTATTTAACTTTAAAACATATTCCTATTTAGATTTCGGTTTTATTTACTTCTTAATAGGTGGCTTATGTAGCTGATCGTTTTAATATCCCTCTTTGTGGTGAGAAAGATTCGTCGGAAAATTCAGTCGCATCTGATGTGGTTGGCACAGACAAGTCTATTGATGAACAGCTGGGACAAGATTGCGGAATAAAACCAACAGAATCTTCCACATCTAATACAAAAACAACAACCAGTGCTACTACCGAATCTAATTTCGAAGTGTTATCCGAAGAAGCTGATTTACACCTTACCGTTGTCACGCAGCTGCGTCATCTAGTTAACACATTCAATGAAAAATATTCTCAGATTTCAAATCAGGTACAAATAACAGCATTTTAATCAAGATTTGTTGTAGCTTTTTTAAGTATTAAAAAGAGTACATGTATAAATTAAACCGTCTGAACTAGTTTAACATAGTCTATACTTGGTTAACACTGGTTGCGTATATCCAAGGGTTCTCAGTACACTGGTCGTATATTGGATTTGGAAATTGATAATAAGCTGAGCGAGTCTAGGCATATCATGTGCCTGTACTCACACATTGCCTCAAGATCAAACTGTATATGAGAAATTATAAACGAGACATGTTATTGAGGGAAGTCGATTACAACTCCGGTCGAGGGCTCAATCTATATATCTTTGTCTGGGTCAGAAAAACAATTATTTGTATACCAATGATTAGTGTACCTAATTATCCAGTTTTATCATTTACAGCTTTCTAATAATTTATATCTTCTCCATGGCATATCTGATTGGGCAACCACATAGGAAGTGCGTGTGTGTTAATCTGACGTCGTAGATCGGGTCAAAAACAATATGGGTTTCTTTATATTATTATCTGAGACATAATTATTCCCGAAGTTTCTTGTTCTGGTTAAACCATATGCCTGAATTCCATGCTTTTGAGTGGCTCAGGCTAACCACCAAAGCGTATCCAAAATGTTAAGACAGTTTATTAGTATTTTGAGATCCATTGTTGCAAATAACAATATATTGAAGTAATGATATATATATATATATATATATATATATATATATATAACAAAAAGATTTGTCTTTTATTCCGTAATTCCGTTTTGTTATGTTATTTACATTTTCCTCCATGTAGACTGGCTTACTAAATCGTATGATCAATTGTGTTTTGTGATTCGTAATAATAATTTGGCTTCATAAGATTTCATTTTGTGATAACTGTATTTTTGTCTTCCAATCGTTTACATCACATTGTATTGTTGTTTTCCCGAAAATGGAGGTTTTTGCCGCGGTTCATTATTAATCATTAACTAGTGATTGTTAAGAAAAAATTCCACTGACATGAATGTTTTTGTTTATCGTCAACGCAGAATTTGTGACATATGTGGATCATCAGTCCAATTAGTTCACACCTCATATCAGCACAGTATTGTAGGAAATTGACAAAATGAAGCCTGAAAATGAGAAATACAATTCAGAAGGAGCTAAAAAGCTAGGAAAAAGAGATTTTACGTTTGAAATTAGATTTCAAACCTAGTAAAAAAATTGCAGAACGGATACAATAAGTTTTATCCTATCTCACTCACCGTTTCGAACCGTTGATTATGATTACTACTTGGGCCACAACCAGAAGGCCTATATCTACTGATGTGGATCAGTTCAGAAGTTAATACGTTGCAGGATTGATTATACGTCTTGCTCTGACTCCCACCCTAGCTTCTTTCTGACTTATTCCTACTTTACGTGGCACTGCGCGTTTGGGTAGGCGGTGTTTAGGTTTGCTTAACACTATTCAGTACTTTATTTCTGGTTAGTTGGTGTGATTTGTTTATCTCAATAATATCGTTATTACTAATGTTATGAAATAGGTTCCTGGACGTAGCAGTTTAGACGTTGAAGAAACCCAACAACAAAACTTGCGTTTAAAAAGTCTATTGGAGACAAAACGTGAACAAGTACACGCATTGCGTAATATGCTACGAGCTAATAAAACTACGGCTGAAACCGCTCTAGCAAATTTAAAACAAAAATACGAAAAAGAGAAAATCAATGTCAGTTCAACAATGCAACAGTTACGTAATGAATTGAAAACACTTAAAGAAGATGCTGCAATCTATGCTTCTTTACGCGCAGTATTCGCCCAACGTTATGATGAATACATGACACAATTAGATGAAATGCAGAGGAAACTAAGTGTAAGTGATAAAAATAATACTTTTACAGTTATCTTCAGCATATGCATGTCTTGGGGGTTTCATGCATACACTTTAACAACTGCGTAGTTTTGTTTCTTACCACTTTTCACTATTTATTAGTCGGAAAATGTGACTAGATATTTAAAGCATATGAATGCTTACATAGAATCACAATTGTTCAATTTTACTATTTATATTTATTACTCAACACTATAGGTCAATTGAAAAATGAGTCGGTGAAATTTAATGAAAGGAAAATATTTAAAAAATGTTAGATGATAATGAATATTAGGAAATGAAAATGACTTCTTATTGCCTGTTTCTGTAAAACTGTAAAATCCCCTCAATTACCATTCACAAAGCTTCATTAAATCAGCTTGTGTTGTAGCATTTTCAAATCATTTTGGGTTGTCTGACAGATCATTTTATGCACAAAATAAGTGTAGTTTATACATTGACTTGCTGACTTTTTAAAAAAATATTTTAAAATTATAGGTAGCTGAAGAAGAAAAAAGAACTGCAAATACTTTGTTACGTCTTGCTATTCAGCAAAAATTAGCTGTCACTCAACGACTTGAGGAACTCGAGGTAAATCTTTATCAAAAACAAAACTTTGACATTCGTTCTGGCCAATCTCATCCACCCTATCATACTAGTTCAATTCAACCATCTCCTAATTCCCTTTTATCTAGTCCAAATCACCAACATTCTTATTCTACATCAATTCATAGTCAGCGACATTCAACTCCACAAAGCTTCCCCCCAATTGACCTTTCCACTTATAGGTCATCTACCCTTCCAAATGCTTCTTATTATACCGGTTCAAGTCCACAACATGGAAGTATTTCATCCAATGGCAGTGGTGCAAGATTATCAGGTCCAGGATCCGATAGAAGCAAAGTAATTAATTTTTATCATAAATCATTAAACATATTGCACTACGAAATAGCATCTTTTGATAGTTTTTTTAAATGGGATACTAAGTAGATTATATTTGTGATCTATAAATAGATTCTAAATCATTTCGTTAATGTTACTGGCAGTGCTCGATACACTGTTTTAAATAGAATCAGATTATCTTATCATTGACGATGTTCGGCGACTCTCTATATCCGATCATCATTGTCTATGAAAGATTTCTTACACTCAGTGGCAACACCGGCTTCTGTGGCTTGGATATGCTTTACGAATGTCATCATCGCAAATTCCACATTGTGCTTTCTTTACCGATGCTGTGACCGATTGAGAAAAGCGAAGATGCTCAGTCTATGACATGGCACCGTGGTAAGCATATTAATGCTTACATAGAATCACAATTGTTCGATTTTACTATTTATATTTATTACTCAACACTATAGGTCAATTGAAAAATGAGTCGGTGAAATTTAATGAAAGGAAAATATTTAAAAAATGTTAGATGATAATGAATATTAGGAAATGAAAATGACTTCTGATTTCCTGTTTCTGTAAAACTGTAAAATCACCTCACCGTGGTATTAAAGGAGAATCTATGGGACGAGTCTGTTGGTCCTTCGCGACTCTTTCAGTTAGTCACAACGTAAAACATGGTACGTATTTACATCGGTTAAAGTTGTCATGCCCCAATTAGCACAGAGAGATTAAATTGTTAGATCAAATCGCAGAATATTAAAAGTGGTAACAGCATCAGTGATAATAGGAAAAATTAGGCATCAAAGATACGATTCGAAAAAAAAATAAATTGGTGGGATGCAAACAAATGTAGTTGTAAGGAATTTAGGATTTCTGAAATAGGAGGTAGATAAATAATGGATGTACCTAATCCATTGCAAACTATTTCGAGCCATGTCACTCCGCGTCTCCAATCATTGGTTATGATAATGACGCGGACCTTAAGTAGGTAGTCTGCACCTATTAACATGGCTCAGTCTAATGGTCATTGACTTCATGGACTGATGCTCTGTTCTGGTTTGGCCACCCCAGGCTTTTTTTCAGCCTACTCCCACACCAGAAAACACAGCCCTTCGAGTTGGGCGGTGGTTAGGCATATATAACACATGTTTCAATCATCTCCGCTGATGAGGATTTACTACCTCATCAGTCGATTTCCCGTCTTTACCCGGTGCTCTATTCCTAACCCAGAGATTGGTTACTTTATGAACTCTTTGGGTGGGATTCGAGATTTAGTATAACTCATTGGCTTGAGATGTTATCAGACGTGTCTCATAATGGAAGCCGATGACGATCCTGCTGTAATTTTCTTGCAAATTCTTCGTAAAAGTAATGGGAACATACTCAACTTAAAACATTCTTTTTGGTTGTAATTTTGTTGCCTGAATTGTTCTTCCCACTGTATTCTACTCTTATCCACTTATTTTTATTCATGTATTGGTTTTCGATTATTCTCACCCTCCCTACTTCATGTCTCCACTAGACCATTTTCTTATTCCTGTAGCACATATTTATTGTGGAGCACATTTGTGTTAATATCTGTGTTCAAATAAACAATAAATGATCTTATAGTTAAATGTGGTTGGCAAGTGTAGAAATAAAATATCCTCCCATTAAAGTATTGTTTTATTGTAAGTAGCAGTGAAATTCAGGATACACCACTTGTCAAGTAGGCGTTTACTTTCGTCTCAGTAAATGTTGTTATTATTACTAAAATTAGTTCCATGTATGTGTATACAACATTTGAACGAAGACTAAAGAAATGATAACTCTCAGAACTAATTTATGGATTATTGTTTTATATATTCTTATTGCATAACTATTAAGTAACTAGACTACTGTATATATACACATATTTCTTTATTCATAAGCTTTCGGTTGACTCATTAACTACTATCATACGGTTTAGTATACCTACATTTTTCCCAGTCTATTGTTTACAGTCTCTCCTATTCGCAGCCGCTTTTTAGCTTAATTATGTATAATTATTATTTTATATCTATGGTGTGATACCGTCTAGTCTGCCTTTATATAATGGACGTCTGTTTGGAGTATAAGATAGTTCAGCCTGACTGCTGACTTCTGGACTCAAGGGACGAGCGGTGAGATAAGCTAGAGAATCGTGAAGCAATAGAAAATTAGCTTTTAACTCAAGGTTAGTGGTGCTGGTCGGACGCGTAATTGGCCAACTCAGACACTCTAAGCCATAAAGTAAATAGTGGACGTGAGTAGACCAAATTAGAATCGGGGTTGTCATTGGTGGTTGATCACGTGATTTTGGTCGGGAGGCTACAAAATATTATTTATAAATATGTATCTCATATATGATAAGGCAGTCGCAAGAATAGTCAGATTTTATTAGAAGAGCTAAGATCTCTTCGGGAAGGAAAACCACTCTCATACTTTTTACCAATTCGATTTTCCGCATAACATTTGTGCTCTGATTGATTGTCATGTTTTTTTTAGTTCGCTAAATTACTACATGTCGAAGGTCATATTCTGCCACTGTAGTATCAAATTTTATACCGTTTTCGTTTGAGTTGCTTGTTCTACTAGAAATATCAAGTTACCTGCAATTCCGTCTTCCTGTCTTAGCGATCGAGGTTTGATGTGTTGAGCATAATTGACTGTTTTCAGTTCAGAGGAGAACTGATCGTATTAGAGAAGCTCAGTCGTTTTCATTCGCGAGTCCGTAACACTGTAGGCCGTACAGAACCCCAATAACAAGACACAACAATATAAAAGCATTCAATATGAAGATATGTTTGTCCCATCGCTTTTGGCTTATTTTAGCGAGACTTGTGTTATGGGTTAGAATTTCATTATTCGATGAATAGGAAAGTACAATGTAACCAAATCATTCATACTCTTGACACTGGTTTATTAATGTGAACCCGTGAATGAACTCCCAACCGTAGCTGTTACCTTGACTTGGTGGTCGGGCTTGCCTATCGTGATGACTCAACCGAGCTATATTGGCTGAAACACATGTTCCAGTATGTCCTACCATGCCAGGCGGGTCGATTGGAGAATGGTAAGACTAAAAGCAGCAACTCAAGGTCTAAGGGCGAAGTTGTACTACTGATTGTAGAGGGGTGTGACAGCAGTAAGGTGTTTCCCCCGCACAGCCAGCATCTGCAGCGATGGGGCCTTCTCACAAGGAAGGAAGGGGTTGGAAAAGGTCGACCCTAAAAATGTCACGCCTCACCTTACCTCAAGGATTTCCGTCTCCGGCGGTAAGGCCTTTTGAAGAACGGAGCCAACACGTGAGAAACCTCCCACGAAAAGGTCGTGCGTGAACGGCCTCAATCAGCTGTTTCTTGGACTCTGCAGTCACGCTCCCAGTTCTTTAAGACCAACACTAATCCAACTTCCTTTCCAGTTTCCTCAAGAAACACCCTTCCACGGTATGGGCAGCCGGGAAGTGATATTAGCTACCATACCCGTAACTGCACACGAGACCAAGTTGGTCACATCCAAATATATGACACTGCTCTATCTAAACATTGAAGTCATGTAAAATGACTAGTTTGTTACTACTTCATGACTATTTACCTACTTGCTTACGCCTGTTACCCCTCGTGAAGGGGCATAGGCTGCTTACCAGCATTCTACATCCATAACAACACATGAGACCAAGTTCGTCATAATCAAATCCTCTCTACACCTAATAACTCTCTTATTTCTACGACTAACCCTTCTCACATTCCTTTATCATCTCGCGCCGCTAAGGCAAACGATTTGAGTACACAGAATGTTATTCCTGGTCTCCTGAAACCACGCTCTAAGCTACATGTAGGAAAGTTTAACGTCCGAACATTGTGCCAAATAGGGCAACAGGCCTCCTTAGCTAGGACTTTAGAGTTTCGCACTATTGATGTGTGCTGTGTCTCCGAAACGCGCATACAAGTTCCGAGTAGCGTCATTCATTTGACTTCATCATATCAAAATAAAGAACCATCTCGATACACGCTTCGTGTATCTGAAAGCCCTGATGCTGCTTCCCGTGGCCTCGCTGGAGTAGGTATAGCATTAAGTGCTAGGGCAGAACTAGCTCTTTTAGACTGGATCCCAGTAGACAGTCGTCTATGCGCTGTCCGACTAAACGGATCAGTAAGGACTCGGAAATATAGGGAAACTCGTCGTTACCTCTTCGTCGTCTCTGCCTACTCTCCCACTGACTGCAGCTCAGATGATATAAAAGATGAGTTCTACAGGAAAATTTCTGACCTCCGAAAAGCTAGGCGTTCTGATGTAGTAATAGTGGCAGGTGACTTTCATGCTCAAGTAGGTAAACTAAGCGAAAGAGAAAGACACCTGGGTGGATCTTATCATGTCGTGGCTAAAAGAATAGATAATGGCGACCGTCTGTTGCAGCTATGCTCAGATAACCGCCTGTATCTTGCAAATACTAACTTTAAACATAAGGAAAAACATCTGACATGGTGACCACCGAATCGGTCCCAACGTTGGACCCAACTAGATTACATCGCTATCAGCCACCGATGAAGGAGCTTGATAGAAAACTGTCGCTCATTCTGGAGCACATGTTTAGATTCAGATCATGCTCTAGTGCGAGCATGTATCTGTCTGCGTTTTACTGGACGTAGGAAAGACACTGCAAGGAAACTTCTTGGGGTTCTACTTAATGATAGGCAAGCCCCAAATGCCCTGGTACGGCAAAGAGTGGGGAGAAGCCGAAAAGCGAATGTCCGGCGCTTCAACTGGGTCGGTGGACACGGAGGGTTCACTTAGGGGAGTTAGAAAACCCTGATTCCAAACCAATGGTGCACATGGGCTCCAGTATCCTGATGGGACGAATGGCGTATGAACCTATTGTTGGTTACCGGCTACCATGGGACTGTATCCCCTTACGATGCTCCACTGCCTTTTGGATCAGACCTTTAGGTCAAAGACTCCGTGTATGGCCCCCTAAGAAAACCACCTACTTCAGTTTGGGCACCTGAGCAGTATCACAGCCCTCACACAAATCGAATGAGATTTGTGCGGTGCATATATATTTGGTGCCTTTTTGTACAAATATTTATGTGTTTAAATAAATAAATATAGGCAAGCTAAAAATATATTTCAGGAACAACTAGAAAAACAGTTAGGCAGCCATATAAGTTGTGTCCACCCCGAGGCAGCATGGAATGACATCCGGAAAGCTGTGAAAACAGCAGTGGTGTCTTTTAGTACGGTAAATTATAAGGTTGAGGAGAAATACTGGATCTCAGCAGCATCTATTGCACTGACAGGTGCTCGAAAACTCATACTATCTGGTTCTGAGAATAACGAAGAGCGGAGTTAGCTTAAGTGCAGGTTAACAAGAAGCCTACGCAATGATCGTGAGCAGTGATGGGTAGCGAAAGCACAAGAGATGGAAAAGGCAGCGGTAATAGGCAACAGCAGACAACAGTTCAGACTTGTTATAGAAACCGGTATTAGGAACCCACATGTCAGCAAAACTATCCCGAAAAAAGATGGACATATTATCTATTCTCAATCTAGGAGATGGGATCGGCGGGCAGAACACTTAAGGATCAATTCAACTGGCCTTCAGCCAATACCTCGGTTCCCCAAGATCCCCAGTCGATCAGAATAGCAAGTTAATATAAGTCCTCCAACTCTTTTGAAGGATGGCGGTCCAGTATTAGCAGTGTAACTGACTGAGGTCTTAGGTAGAATCTGGGAACCGGACGTAATCCCATCTGACTGGTCCCAATCTCTGATTATGCCAGTCTATAAGAAAGGAGAAAAGTCTTCTTATGACAATCACAGAGGAATCAGTTTAACTAATACAGTGTCTAAAATATTAGGTTCAATAATACTTCGACGCCTAACTAATGCTCGTAAAGAACATACTGGAGAAAACCAGGCTGGTTTTCAACCTGGACCTGGCTGTATAGACCAGATATTCACACTACGTCAGGTCCTAGAACATAGACACACATTCAGAGGTCCCGCAATCGTAGTATTACTCTACCTTAATGTGGCATTTGACTCTCTTGATCGTGAGGTTCTATGGCAATGTTTGTCACTGAAAGGAGTACCAAAGAAGTTTTAATCTTTTAAACACCATTTGAATGCGATATTTAAAGCTACATTGAATACTAACTAAATACACTAAACAACTTTCAGTTAGTAACATTTTTTCATACTTGTGTTTAGTTAATCGACGGAAGGTTTAAATATATTGGTATTGGTTCACATTCGTAAATCAAACACAGGTAATGCAGCTGGTATACTGATCTGTTACAACATCCTAAAAATAGATTAGTATGTTTCTATTTTATTGCAACTGCCAACAATATATTTTAGGTTTAAAAAGTCTCCGAAGTAGTTGCTTTGTTCTGTAGTAAATTATGTATTATCTTCAATCCCAATCTGGACAGACCAAACAATAGAATGACTATTATATGTTGAGGAAGGACACAGTAAGGTACAAGTGTAGGCGGGTTCTAATGAGTAATTAAATTATTCATCTAGCTAGGGTCACCGCCCATGTGTGTTGTCACTAAGTTTCTAAGGTGAATTTTTATTGATACTGTGGTTTTCTTGATTAAAATGGAGTCACGTTACATGGATTGTCTTAAATTTTAAAAAAATTACTATCCTGTCTTAAATTCTTATCGTAGCCAGATGACGCTGTTTTGAATACCAGGCGAAATTTTTAGGATTATTTATTGCTAATACATGATATCGTTTTTTTTCGATGTGTATTTTCCACACATTCCTACTCTGTATTTCTAGTCTCGTCTGGTTTTAAATAGTAATTATTATCAGATTTATAGACACTCCCTGAATAATTTCATCGATTTACTATGTATTACGCGTAAAGGAATGTGATTTGAAACGTATGCGTTAATATTAAGCCAGTATGATGCAGTTAATGAGTTATAAATATAAGTGAAATATCTGCATTATTTACTATAGATCAAAATTGGAACCTCAGTGTTTTTATTTATCTTTTCAGAGAAATACGCGTTTCAGACGTGATGGTGTGACCTGAACACATTGTCTATCCAGTCGTATATTATATATATGGTTTTTCACACTTCCAGCTTTGTTTACATTCGGAAAAAAACTCATTGCCTTCAACCTGTTTTTTTCCATTTAGGTTATCATCGGATATTTTTTACATCTCATTATGCATATGCTTGTATAATATGTTTTAAACAGTCTGTGCTCGTTTATTGTAATTATTTAGAGCTCAATGTTCTTGCTTGTTCACACAACTTAGTTAACCATATGTTGTGAATTTGGCGAGAAATTTTAATCTTCTTACTAGTATGACGAATTGTTTATTGTGTGCAATATAAATTCTCTTCTTTTTCGATCTATCTATCTAAAGTATACGTTTTAATTGTAAGCAGTTAGGGGATTGTGTATTTCTGCTCCTTTATTAAACGTTAATTCATATCTTTGGACATTGTCATAGGATATTTATATACATCTCTCTTAGCAACATCTGTTTACTGAAAAATATCAAGTTTGATCTCTTAAATGAATTTCATGTTGATTTGAATGTTTTTTGTTTTTAATTATTATCCATCTGTTTATCATATCAAATGTTGCAATATCTTATTTGTTTTTAGTATGATAAAAAAACTTACGTAAATATCAGTTGCTTGTTTTTCCTAAGTTCTTCACTTTCATTTTGTTTTACCTAATTCTATTTCTGCTTTCCCATATGTATAAAAACATTAAACTGTACAATGACATTTTCTTTCCTTCCTGTTTTTCTTTATGTTAGTCCTTTTAATTTACTCATGGCGTTCAAATAGAATGCTTCATAGAAAGTTTGGATTTTTCTTTTGACAAAAAATGTTTTTCTTTTGTCTTTGTTCGCAGTGTATGATGCTAAAAAGTAATAATTTGTTCGAAGTCATGCTTTTTTGGTTCCATTTATCTATAAACCTATTTATGTTTGTGATTGTTTGGTGAAATTCTGGT